GTAGATATAACTGCTGATGCATTAATTGTGCATTGATTTTTAATTCTATTTGAGTTTAAATGACACCCTAAACAGGGCGTACATTTAATTGGTAGAAGGGGATAATAGTTCAGCTGACTTATATTAATATCAGATTGCCAATGTGTAATAGATATTTGATTAGTATTATAAAAGTATCTACGAATTTTGCCCAGCAGCCTCTTTTTTTTGCTTGATCTCATTGGCTTTTCTTTTAGCTTTCTCTTCCATGTCTTTTAATAGCTTTAGGGATGTTTCATTTGTAAGAAGTTAAAAAAATGGCATAGTTTTCCTTTTTTTTCTTTTTTATAAACTTGCTTCAGGTTGGTTCACGGCTTGATCTGGATCTTCAACTGCTTGTAGAGTATGAGGAAGAGGATACTTAAGCACTAAACATAATAGGTAAATGCCAGGGTTTTTAAAAGTTTCTAGTTCATCTTTTGTCGTTTTTAACTCTGCTTCCAACTGATCAACCCTAAAATTAAACAATTCAACCTCAGCCTTTAATGATCTTTTCTTAGTATAAGTAAGGATAAGATTTGGATCTAGGTTAGAAAAAGCTTGTGAAGGTAAAGAAGTTGATGTAGAAGGTTGCAGATACAGAATTGGTGTAGAAGGTTGCATTGGTGAAACGTCAAACTGTTCTGTTGCTAGAGAAGGATCAAGGTAGTCGAGACTAATTGCATTTAAGTTAAATGATCAGATTTCAGTTGCTTTGAAAGCATTACAAATAGCTACAGGTGTGTAAGTTTTAATGTAAGCTGGACTAAGAACCTTAGCAAATATATGTTTGGTAACTAATTCATCATTATTATTGAAGTGAAGCTGTTTACAGCTTTTACTATAAGCTTGTTTGAGATGAATGAAAGAAATTTCTGCAGATTAAAGTATATGGGTTGTATGAGGTGGGAGCGCATAGAGAAGAATGTTGTTGTTAAAGCAAAGGTTAACACAAGCATAACTAACATGACTTTTATGACTGTCAAGAATTAATAAAACAGGATGGGTAGGTAGAATTGAACAAATAAAATGTTCGATATATTTTTGAAAAAGGCATTCTTTCATATATCTGGTATCTGTAAATTCCATAACAAAACCTGTAAGTGCACCATTCAAGAGACCAGGAATCATGCACTTTCTTTTGTAGATAATTAACAGTGGTATATACGTTCTGACTGCTAAAATTGTTAGACATACTGAAATGTGTTCTTGAGACTTTCTTTGTGAAACCTAATGAACTTGATGGGCACCCTTCTTTGCAATTACTTTTTGAAGAATCAGATTAATGATGAAGCCCATCTCATCCTAAATATGATATAAAAAAGATAATTAAAAAAAAAGACAAATAAAAAAAAAAAAAAAATAAAAAAGAGAATAAAAAAAAAGACCATATTCCAAATTCGATTCAGAGTAAGTAAATAATTTTCAATTCCTTTTTGAAGCTTTTAAAAGTGATCTTTGACAATGATAGGGTTGGCCTTTTGGGCTCATGCTTCATTTAAGGCCTGTAAAATGTGAAATAAAAGTTCTGGATGGTCTCTCATGAATCATTTCCACTATGATTGACCTGATCCACTTTCTTTAAAGGGGTAAGATCTATTATTTTGGTGAACAATATTCATTACACATTAGTTTACTCCTGATCTTGTCAATCCGAAGCCAAGTCTTTGCATGTTCAAACAATAACCAACAAGTTGCTGTTCTTCATAATCGGTTAAAACTTTGACAGGGCCTAGATGACCAGAAAGGCCACCATTTTTAATGGCACATCTTAAAGTAGTTTCTGGAATACCATATTTTTTTGCAAGACTTCTATAACTTGATGACTTAGAATTGGTTTGAGAACCATTTAGTTCTTTAAGGGTACTTGAAATTACATTTTGTTTTACAGATTGGTTGTTATGTGTTGGAATTTTGTTTTTTAATAAGCTTACAGGTTAGAATATACAATGTCAATTTATAAGATTTCAATTATTATTTTTTTTATTTATTAAGAACATGCAAACAGGTATGGTTTAACTATATTACTATTCATTGACATATAAAATTTATTTTTTTGTTTGTTAAGTTCTATACTATGGATGGGCAAAGTAATTTTATAAATAATAATGACCTATGACTCATGAATTTACTTAACATTAAGTAATATTAAGTAATTATTACATTTTATTACTTATTACATATATATACGAAACACATGATAATAGTCAGAATTGACTGAGATTGAACAAAAAATTACTGCTATCTGCAAAGGAAAACATGCATATTTAAATATAGGCTATATATAAATGGCATGTTTTCCTTGGCGACACTCAAATAATTATTATTACCTATTGCCAAAAATCTTAAGTAATATTAAGTAAGAGTACATAATAGTTTCGCCCATCTCTACCCTATACAGGATCTTTTTTTGGATACGTATCATTTCATTTCACCGAACACCCTATCACACAATGTAAGGAGTAATATTGAACAATAATTATTAATCATCAAACAATCGTTAAATATTAACCATCGTTTTGTGTAATTGGGTGTTCAGCGAAACAATTGTCGATAAAATGATACGTATTCTTTTTTTTATTCCCCCACTAGTACTAGTTTTTATAAAACACCCGGTATATTTGCATAAATAATATTTATGCGCTTTATATCAAAATAATGCGCATTGATATTATTTATACAAATACGATGTGCTAGTTAACCACAAAACAATATAAAATAAAATTAATAGAGATTGGTCTACAAAGTTATGAAGGCTTTAAATTTGACTATTCGAATGTAATTGGTTGTTCAAAATTTGAATCTCAAACAACTCTTGAATTTTGTATGAAATTAGCGAATCAATACGATTTTAATCTTAATAAATGACTAGCGGCCCAGCTAACTCATAAATATATACTGCTGTATAGATTTTTTTACTTTACAAAACGATCCTAAATCAGAAATATCAGAAATAAATATTTGTTCAAATAAATATTTTTTATATGCAAATTGGAATATGCATTATAAAAAAGTTTTTTATTAATACACAAATCTATACATACTTGAATTTAATTAACTAACAACTTATTGTATGATGCTGCGCCAAAATGTGATTTTTAATATACAAATAAATAATGCAATATTAATTAGCAAAAGGTTATCTATATCTCTTCAAACTTTGATATTTTATAGAGTTTGACTTGAGAAACAATTGTACTTTATTTAAGCTTTTATTTACTTAATAAATAATCTCAATATAAATTGTAATTGTTAGTGTGTGTTAAATGCTTCTGCTAAATAGAGTTTAGAAACCTATTTGAGTAACGATATCTCGTGACCCAGCAGTCAGAATCGGACGATTTTGACATCATTCGATTCGTCTCAATGAGACGAATCGATTGGTGCAAAAATCACATGATTCTAATCACTAGGTCGCGAGATATCATAGATACACCACAATACCCATGTGCGCCACAATACCTATATCTACCTTATGTTTTGTGATACACATGTGATTATTTTTTATTTGACAAAATCAATACCTACTTAAATTCTAGAATTAAAAAAAAATACTATTTGTATATAAAATAAAATAAAAATAGAAAGATACATCTAAAATTACACAAGATACTATGATCCAACTAAATTTTTTTTTTGTTACATTATTTATAATTGCCACTTTAATCAAAATACTTCAACTAGCCTATTAAAAATATTCTTTATGACAATTAGTATGTCTTATAAAACAGACCAATATTTACATGCATAACTTTATCAATTCACTCATATCCAACACCTAGAACATATGAATCTTAGTGATGAAAAAAATAGTAACTGTGTAGGTTTATGAGATCTAAAAATCTGGCAATATATGATTGATATGTTCACGTTGTCCAATCGGTTAATGGATTTTGCCGACGAACATCCAGGTAAGCCATACACTTTATAACTAGAGTTCTGAAAGTATTTATGTGCCGCATACAGTACTATACGTACTGTACGCGAAAATTTTTACCAATCCTTTTTACCAGCCAATCAAATCGCTAGATACGTACTGTATGCGAAAAAAATTCGTGTATCATATAAATGGCACATCACTATCTGCAAGTGTCAGACACGGGCACTATTAAAACATAGTGCCAGGCACAGGCCTGGGCACCATTTTTAATAGTACGTGCCCGGCGCTTGTAGAACCCTATTTGTAACCAATAAATCAAGCAACAACGAAACTGGATAAGGGAAAATAAATGCTAATGTTAAATAGGAAAAAAAAAATACATGTAGCTAAATCGAGTGTGCAACATCCGTAAATGAAAATGGTAAATAGGGTCAAACCGGCATAACGACAAGCCCCATATTAACGCAAAGATAAATCAAATAATAAAGAAACTGGATAGATCAACAAAAGGGAAAACAAGCGCAATATTAAATAGAAAAAAAATACAAAATCACGACTAAAACGAGTTATAATCTGATGTACATATAACATATGATGTGAATTTTTTTGCTATGATATTTTTTGCATTACGTAATCAGTTTTGCAAAATATCACAGAAAAACTTCGTATGATCATATTAACTATCCGATAGCATCATTATTGAACATACGTACGACAAAAAAAAAAATTGCATGTTATTTTTCATCGTATGACCAATAACTTACGATCATCATCACAAATGCATGCACACAATATTAGGAAAGTATCGATAAATACATAACAGTGATTTTGCTCAAGATTGAATGAAATAACATTGTTAGATAGTCAACAGTTTCACTAACTTAATTTAGTTCTGTAATACTCCGTCAAGTTTAGTCTGCCAAATTTAGAGCAATTAATTGATCCCAAAAATGGGATTTTCAATAATAATCGACTCTATAAAATGCAATTAGAAAATTTTTAAAAATGAACACCTTGAAAAAAAAAAAATTTAGATACGACCATGAATGAAAACAAATTAAGTAATTCTATGGATGACTTCTGTGAACGCATGGACCAATGGAATCGGGGTGAAGGTGAATCCCATCAACATGCATTTAGTTTAGGACAACTTTTATTAAAGGAAAATACAAATTCTAAAGGAGTAGGTGGAGCTACTCGTGGTATATTTCTTATTGGCGATCAGAGTTCATCGAAATCTACTACTGTAAACAGTATTATACAACAAGTGGCATTACAAATGGGTAATAATACCGTCACTAAAATTAGAACTTGGATTGATCATCGATATGATCCCGAATTGGAAGTAGCAAAATATGACTTGCTGATAGAAAAACATGACAAGTCAGAAAATCCTGTAACGCTTCTTCATAATCGCAGCTTACAGGATCTAACTACTGAATTTGCAAAACTTAACGGTGAACTGAATGATAAAAAAGATGCTCGAATTATTATCCACTCCAACATTCCATCTTTTGCTGTGATAATCCGGGATTGACCCCAACCAATAAAAATATAGAAACGATTACTGATAGTATTACTCGTCGTACATTAGATAAAGTGATAGAACGTCAAAAATCACAAAATGATAGTATAGTACTTTTGTGTATCTCAGCAACAAGAGCTTTTGAAAGCTCATCCTGGACTCGACATATGGATTTAATAGAAAAACTTGATGGCAAGAATTTAATTGTCCTTGTTACAAGGATGGATTTACTTAACATTAGCGAAGTCTCTCAAGAGATAAGAACTAATAAAGAATTCATAAAAACGTTACCGGATAATGTTTTTGACATTCAAGTAGAAAGTAATGACTTCGGACCTCTTCGCTGTAGTTCATGGGATATCCTCCAATATTTTCGTACAAAAATTGAACTTCAAGCCAAGCCTCATCATCTTCCAGATGGTGTGCAGTTTCATTACGCGGCCTCCAATAGCGAAAGTTTGGATGATTTGTTGGAGCAGGGATGGGATGCATTTAAGAAATCAGAAGAAAAAAATAATGAAATGATGCTCGAAATTCTTTGCGGAAAAAAGGATGAATGGAAAAAGCATGGTATTGAATTAATTGAATTGAGTTATAAACAAAGTGAATTCAGAAATTCAGTTGGAATGGAAAATTTACGGAAAAAATTACTCAATACATTACATATACATATTGTGAAAGCTGCAAAGGAACTTATGAACTATACATCCGAATGGCAATCTAATAAAATAAAGGAACTAAATATAATGGTAAAGCGTATTGAGTCTTTTAAAGATCGATCAGAATTGATAACTTCGTTCTGCAGAAAGTTTATAGTAGTATTTCAGACGCTTTTTGCTTCACCACTATATACTCCAACTATTCATTCTAACCATCGGTTGAAAAAATTTGGAAATGAAATCAAAAAGGCACGAGAAGCTAGAACGGAATACGGTTGGTCTTTAATTGATATGTGGGAAATTTTCGAGACTCTTAAAGGCACTAACGGATTTGCAGAATTTCCGCCTCAAGAATTTTGCGATAAAAATTTTCAAAAATACATTGACGACGTCGAGAGTCATATCAATTCGGCTGATGCTCGTTTAAATACTGCGCAGATGTTAATACAGAGGTTAACACAAGAATATACATTGAGGTCATCTCTTATTAGTTTGCAAAAGCCTGATGCTAAAAAGTTCGTTTCACGTCAGGTACAAGCGTCAACAGCAACCCAATTAAGTTTTGGTCCCGCAGTCGATCAAAAAATTAGCGAAGATTACGGTAAAATTTTCTGCATACATGATAAATATAAACAAGAGAATACTAACAGTGGTACAGAAAATTCTATCGAAATGCGAGGGGGAAACCAATGGGTGTCTGTTCTTGGAGCATTGTGTCTATTGTTGCATGCAGAATATACCATTCATATCATGCGCGACACAGAATTTTCTTTTCTGTTACGATTGCAAAGTGAAGATCCGATGAAAGGTATTTTGGTTTCAAAATTCAAGCAATATTGGGAATTAAGAAATGAAAATAAGGAAAATTCGGTAGACCAGCAAAGTACAGAGAAACAAATTGCAGAAATTATGAAGTCTATGGGAAAAATAGGAAAACTTAAATTTAAAAACACCGAATCAGCTAAAGTACCACCAATTGATGATATATCATGGGCAATCTATGCTATGTTCTTCGAGAAATCATATAGTCTTTTAAAAGAAACATTAGACGAACGTACTGATTTAGTAGTCTTGACGCATGCTACATCACTTGTTCATTGTTATCAGTTGAGCGGCATCTGTGTGCATCGAGATGAAGATTATCTGATGAAATGGGCAGCAGATAATCCGAATTCCGCATATGGAAGGGCATTTGTGGTTACTGAACAGGACGTTATAGATTTAGTGAAACCGTCGCCCGACGAGACTCAGCAAATTGCAGATTTTCCAAAGAGAAAGACTTTTCATGATTTAACAATGGATAATTTTAAAATGTTTCAAAAAGGGAAAAAGAATGGCAATGAGTTACAGACTAATTCGGCAGGAGAAATAAAAAACAAGCCCTTTATTTTTTCAACTCTGCCGGAAACGACGACTGATAGGATCAGAAATTCTATGAAAGGAAAACCACTAGATCAGGAAGACATGGTAAAGTTATTTATAGATCTTGTTGATATGGGAAGAAATCCAGACACGTTTGATGAACCCGAAAGCAAGACTAATCTTTCTGAAAAAGAAGAAAGTGCCGTTAACTATGTATATAGGCGCCGTTTGACTATGGGAATTTCAAGCAGTATCACTGACGTTATACAACAGCTTGCTAAGGTGCAGTACAATTTCAGCCACCAACAGATTGCCGATACTCTAAAACGTGAGCTACTTGGCCGCGTCGCATCTTTGTTGCTTGGTTATGAGTATCCATATCACCCCGACGAACGCCCTTCATCCAAATGGTATCTCTCACCAGAAGTAGTTATACGATTTCTTGTTGCCAATGAATCAGTCTTTGAAAGCATGTCAGAATCAGATGAAAGGAACTGGAAAGTTTTACTTGATCATCGGATATCAGAGTCACCACTTGTTATGCGCATTGAGAATTTAATATTAAACAGTGATAAAAAAGATAACTTAAAAACAGTGTCTTATCATATCAAACGGCTGGAAGAGGCAAAACCTGATGAATTGGATGCATATATTATTGAATTCCTTGCCAACGATCGATTTGATTGGCAGCAAGATGAAAAAAATCTAAAAATAAAAATAAAAGATCTAAGAGATACGATATATAAATACAAGAAATGGAATCATTACCTTGAAGCGTATAATAATGTTGTAGTTGCAATTTTTGAAGACAAAGAGGAAGATATACCCAATATAGATTTTGATGAGAAAAAAACGATGGCTGATATTAATAAATTAATCAAAGATGGTGATCAAAATGATGATGGTAATGATGACAGTGAATATAAAGATAATGAAGAAAATACTAAATAGAGGTCGGTTAACATGTTTAGAATTGCATTTTATCAGTCAAATGGATTGATATACCTAAATTTATATGAACTTTATTCGAAAATAAATCCAAAATTTTTTTTTTTTTTAACATTTAATAGCTATTGTAACCAGTCATTTGTTCACGTGATTAAACCGATCACATGGCTATCGCTTCGGACTCCTTTAGATACGTAAAGCCTATTTTTTTGATACAACTAAGATTGGGCAGGCTGCATAGTAAAAATCATTATTGAAGATTTTTTTGATCGATATTTGAAATTTTTCAATTTATAATATGTTATTAATAAAAAAACATCTTTGCAAAATCTTTAATAACTTCTGCTATATTAATTTTTTAATTTTACAAGTTGATTTTTATTCCTTGAGTACCTCTATTGAGTAATAACTGCATGTTTTAAGTAATTTAATTTTTTATATTATATCACTTAGTATTTATTAAACATGTATTGATATCATTTTATTAATGATGCCAAACTAAAATAGTATTTAAAATAGTTTGTGGATTTTCTGTAAGACTTTCTGGCCCTACATTGTTGATAGAGTTTCTTTAATATTTTTCAAATATGTTTTTCTTGTATTATATGAGTGCTGCCAAGGGAAAAAGGCCGTTCGGACTTTCAATATATTTTGTGTGTAGTCAACCGTCTATGGAAAATTTATCATCATAGTAAATTTTCCGTAGATGGATAACTGTACACAAAATATATTGAAAGTCCGAACAGCCTTTTTCCCTTGGCAGCACTCATATCTTCGATTCCCTTATTTAGACCTGAAATTTGAATTCAGACTTGCTGAAGTTCTTCATTCATATTTGGATGTGTCTTGATATCATAGTGATTGAATATCCTTCAAGGTATTGTAGATGAATTATGATGCTATAAATTTGATATTTAATAAATTCATAAATTAATGGAAATTTTCATGGTTTTTTATTATCTTAATTTGTGAATTCAAGTAAACCATGCGCTTTGTACTTAGTGATGGGAGAATTAATTCTACATTTGTAGAATTAATTCTACAAATGTAGAATTGTCGATCGTGAATAATTTTAGTAATTCTACAATTCTACATGCATACGATTGTAGAAATAACGTAATTCTACAATTCTACAATGTACGTAGAATTGTAAAATTGATGATCATATACTAATTTAGTAATTCTACAATTCTATGTACACTTGTAAACTCATACAGGGGGATCACCAAAATTCCGGGTCGGAATACATCGGAATCATGATCGGCAGGCCGGAATTAACTAATTTTGCCCAAGATGAAACCATAGCTCACTCATTAAGTAAAGCTGCCCAGCTGATAATTTTGGCCTGAAATGGTTAACTTGTATTACTAAATGCTAACTAAATGCAGGGCTAAATCCGAAGTATTCCGACCCGGAATTTTGGGGATCCCCCTGTATGAGTTTACACTTGTAGAATTGTAGATCGCTTGCAGAATTGTAGATCGTTTGTAGAATTGTTGATCATTAACTGCATCAAAAGTTACATTCTTGATTAGGGTGCTTACTCTACATAGCATAGGTAACGTATTAATTTTTTTTCTTTATAAATTAACTTTTTAATAGTGAAAATTTATTGAAATTACTTATAAACTCTAATAAAACTTAGGCAAAGTAAAAAAAAAAGAACATTATTACTTTAAAGAGCATGTTAAGAGGACTTTAACGAATATAGTTTTCTAGCTAATTAACCGTGATACTCATTACATTTGCTCCTGGTACTCATTACATTTATCCTTGATATAAAGCTGCGCGATGCAGTCATGCTAGAAACCAGGAACGAAAGCAAATATAGAGTTAACAAATAGTCATTAATATATTGTGAATATACTATAGGCAATTGATTCGCATTAGCTAATCAAACAAAAGTTTACAAGCCATCAAATAATAAATTATCAGATTATCATGTTATTCAAAAAATTATTTGCCATTGCCTTTGACTAACCATAACAATTTAACTATTCAATAAACCAGGGTGAGTATGAAGGTTAATTCTGTTCACTTTAATGATTGCATTTCAAAGGAGTATATGATTAACCACAATCATTTAATTATTCAATAATTTACCAGAGTATGAAGGTTAATTCTGTTCACTTTAATGATTGTTTTTCAAGAGAATGTATTATTTACTATAATTATTCAATTGTTCAGCATAAATATAAAGTTTAATTCTGTTCACTTTAACATTTATGTTTCAAGAAAATGTATTATTAATTGTAAGCAATTTTTTAATAAATCATTAATATGAGTATATAGTTTGATTCTGTTCATTTTAATATTTGTGTTTTAAAAGAATATACGATTAACATAAGCATTTAATAAATTACCAATGAGTATGAAGTTTAATTCTGCTTTCTTTAACATTTGTATTTTTAAAAATATATTATTAATCATAATCATCTAATTATTCAATAAATCACCAGTATGAGTATAAAGTTTAATTCTGTTTACTTTAAAATCTAGGTTTTAAGTATGTATAACTAATTGTAATTATTTAATAAGTTAACAGCATAGAATGAAGTTTAATTCTGTTCACTTAAATGATTGTATTTTAAGAGAAAATATGACTAATTGTAATTATTTAATTATTTAATAAATCTCTAGCACAAGTATAAAGTTGATTCTGTTTATTAAATATATATGATTAACTGTAATTATTTAATTATTTAATAATTATCAGTATAAGTATAAAATTTAGTTCTGTTTATTTTAAAAATAAGAGTTTTTAATAAAAAAACAAATAAAATAAGTGATATAAATATGTTACTTATAGTACTAATTTGATAATAAGTATATAAATCTAATATATAAATCTTCTAATATACTGATAATAAAAATAAAGAACAGATTACTTATTATAAAAACATAATGTTCTCTATTTTATTTTAAACAAATAAGCTAAATATATTTTTTTATTTTTACAAAATTTGTTTCTCTTTATTTATAATTATTATTATACTTCATTTTTTTTTAGACTGGTTACTATTATCTTAATATTTCTATTTATTTTATTATATTCATCATTAGAATTTTGTTTTTTATTACTATTTTCTATATTTAGATCTATATAATTCTTATTTTTAAGTGATAAATTAATTTTGTTATCAATAATAGTTAAAGTAGGTAATTTTTTAGATAAATTAGAAGTCAAGTTATTGTTATATTCAATAGAAGAAGATTTTTTAGATAATTGATTAGTCAAACAATTAATATCATCTGCTATAATGTCAATAATTAAACAAAAGTTTAAAGATATAGAAAAAGAATTCTTGATAAATTAGAATTTAAAAAAATGATTTTGAGTAATCAATATTAGTTGCTTCTATTATTATTTTTTCAGAGTTTAAAAATTTGAATAGATCTAATACAAAGTAGATATTTCTTACTTTAATATTAGATTATAAAAGCCCCAAATGTTTAAATCTTATAAAATTGAAAAAATAAAGAACATTTATTTTCATTCTGATATTTTTTTTTTTTTTTTTTTGAATTTCCACTGCTTGATCGCTAGTGGTCTGCAGCTGGCGGCTGTTTTATTAGTTCAAATTTCA